CTCCCTCCTCCTCCTCCTCCTCCTCCTCCTCCTCCTCCTCCTCCTCCTCCTCCTCCTCCTCGAATTGGACTTCGAAGGCAGCGTCCAGCGAGAGCCCCATGGTTGACGAGCAGCCGCCGCCTGCCAGTGCTGGCGCTGCCCGCACGCGGGCGTCGGCTCCTATGCCGCGATGCCCAAACAGTGCTTCGCAATGCCGGCGCAGTGCTTGCCGGGTGCCCCCCCCCCACCCTTGGCATCGCTCGGACGTGTGCGTTTCTTCCTTCGGCGGCGAGGACCATCGAGGAGCATCCTTGATCATTTGGCGAAAAAACCACGCACGAAACCGAAAAAAACACAGGGAATGGACGTCCGAGCGATGGCAAGCAATGCCGACGCAGTGCTTGCCGGGTGCCCCCCCCCCCACCGTGGGCGCCGCGTGGGCGCGCCGCGCGTTGGCTGGGTCTTCCATGCTTTCCGCGTTTTCGCTGGGTGCTCGTTTGTAGGTTCCTCGTGCGGTGGTCGGCGGTCAGAGATGGCCCAGAGTGCAAACTACAGCGTGAACCACGTAGGTTACACCACTTGCACCACAAAGCTTGCACCACAGATCGTGCACCACACAGTTTGATTGTTGTTGCTTCACTCCTCGTGCGTGTCTGGCTGTGCTTGCGTAGCTCGTGCGTGTCTAGTGCCAGCCGCCGCTCGGCCACGTTAGGCATTTCGTTTATTTCTCCCTCCCTCTCCCTCTGGCGCTCTCTCCTCCGCGTTTCGTCCTTTCCTTTCGCGCGCGGCACGCTCGCGCATCTTTCAGGCCACGGGTCAGTGCATGAGCTTGCCTATCGCAGGTCGGTTCGCGCGGTGTGCCCGGTTGCTTGGCGACCTTTCGATTTTCGTAGCGGCCGAGGCCTAGTCAAGGTGACGACCAGTGTTCGCGGTCCTTATTCCTCTTCCTCCTCCTCCTCCTCCTCCTCCTCGTTCTCCTCCTCCCCCACACCACCAAGCAACAAAAACTTGCAACTGCGCGCTAGGTTGCACCACGTATTCCACCCATAGATTACACCACATACCTTGCACAACTTGGATCGCGCCCAATGGATTGCACCACACAGTTTGCGCTCCACATAGCACCTGCAACGGGATGTAAGAGCCCAGTGTTCCGTGTCCACTGTGGCAAACATTGTTCAGAACACAAGCACACCCAACAAGCAACGGACCAAGAAAAACACAGTTGTAACCAAGCCGTGAGATTGCTGGAAATGTGCAAGGCGAATGCACGCGAGGCTAAGGCGAGAGCCACATGGTGAGAAGGAATTGCCCTGTACCCCTGCAATGGTTGGGAAAGTTCAAGACGGTTCTGCACGACGATGAGGTGAGGGCCACATCTCAAAATATAGCCCCACCTCCATCCGCTTAGGCGTTCTAGATTGCAAGCTTCAGAAAGAGCCAGACAGAACGGGAAAGTCTCCGAAAAAAATGCCCAGCCCGCAACACCCCCGCGCCTGGTTGTGTGACATGGAGGAGTTTTCCATAAAAAAAGGCGAAGGATGCGGGAGGAGGCTAGGAGCCACGAGGATCAGAAGCGGGATGAGGGGGACGGGCGAGGAGGGAGCGGGGATGCTGGAGGGCGAGGAGGAGTGAGTGGGGGGAGGGGGAGGGTGAAGGGGGACGAGCAGAGGGACTGGCTACACCTTAGGCGATGCTTAAGAAAACTTAAGTTTTCGGCCAGAGTCTCGATTATTCTTAACGTTTCAATGTAAATCTTAAGATGTTAATGGAAATGGTGGGTTTTTTTATTCAAGTTCTGAGACTATGAATGTCTTAACCCATGATTTCTTAAGCATTTCGCAGGGTGTACCACCACCGAGCGGATGTTTGTTTGAGCTGCTGCGTATTGTGCGCCCTTTATTGTGTGTCCCCTGCATCATTGCACACGATGTCCAGACGCTGTTGAGCACAGTCTGCAGCGCTTTTGTGCCTTCGCGCACGCGTTCTTCAGGAATCGCGGCCCGATCATATTCGTGCAGCACTTCCAAAAGAGCGTGAACGTATCACGCCAACACACGTGAGAGCGCATTGCATGTACATTCGCATGCGTGGGTGCTTGAAAGTTACCACAGACGCGCTCATTCATGCACATTCATATAGTAGACGTGAAGCTCCTACTGGTGCGCGCACAACCATGCAGTCGCGCACAGATGCGCGCGTACACACACATGCGCGCGTGCGCGAGTGTTTGACGGATCACGCGCGGACACCGCCTCGGTTGCTAGTATTGCGTCAAGCGGCATTATTCGCGCAAAGTCTTTGATGAGTGGGCGTGTCAGTAACGACATACGGTAACACTTCTCTCGGACGCGTTCCTGCCACAAGCCTTGTTGGCCAGGCGGCAAGTAAAAGCGAACAGCTCAGCACATACCCTCGCGTTGGCCTGCACACAGCTCGTTGCCGCCCACGGCGCGAGCGGCTGTCGTGCACGATGGGGATCCGTCCGCCCCTCGCCTGGCAGGAGAGGGGTGGAGGGGGAGGAGGAACAGCAGAGACTGCAGCATTGGCGGAGGAGGAGGAAGAGGAGGTGGAGGAGGAGGAGGAGGAGGAGGAGGAGGAGGACCCCCTCCACCTCCAACTTGTGGTGGTGGTGGTGGAAAACAGGCCCATCCAGACCGTGCGGGCGCGGCTGCGGACATGTTGGCCGCCTGGGAGCTAGGACGAGGAGGGGGACGAGGAGCAGCTACTGTAAAGCAGTTGCTGCAGGCGCGCTTGGGCAAAACGGCGCGAAGCGTCTTGAGAGCGAAGCAGCTGATCAAGCTCAAAAAGATGGGCAGGAGGAAGAGGAGGAGGCCGAGGACGCGGTGGTAGGCTCCTCCCGCCCGAAATCTGAAACTCCATCTCTCTCTCTCTCTCTCTTTCTCTTTCTCTCTCTATCAACATGAATGTAAAGTTTAAGCCAAGATGTATCCCGAGGTCCCCCTCGGATTCCGCCTCTGGGGAAGCAAAACCCAAACGCTCGCGATCATGCGTTGAAAAACGAGGTGCGGCGCACATCGCCATGAAAGCGAATCCTCAGTCCGCACGATCCTCCAACCATTTGGCGCGGGCCACACCCCGCACGCGCGGCCGAAGGAAACGAATTCCGTGCCCTTCACGATAGGCCATTGACAGCGTGGCGCAGGGCACATTCCCGCCCGCGCGGCTGGCCTGCGCCCCTCGCGATCGCCCGCGAACAAAAACAGTGCTAGGAGATTGGTTTGGGGGGATTCGAAAACCAGGAGATTGGTTTCTTGACATCAAGAACCAGTCTCCTAGCACCTGTGCGGCCCACATGCCGCCCACGCGGCGCCCGCTCGAGGGCGCGCTCCCGGGCGGTCTGGTCCGCTGCCGCGACGCCCGCACGGCCCTGCCCGTTGGCTTGCGTGCGCCAGACTGCGTGTCTTCATAAGCAGTGGGATTCTACCACCCTCGCCAGAATTAACTTCAAAAATGGCGATCGCGCCCCTGCGATGTCGGCGCGCCCTTCAATGTCGATGGACGCCCGTCCAATGTCGGGGCCAGGGCAACAGTGGTCTGACCGGGAACGACTCGGTCGATGATGACCGACATTGGAGGGGCGGCGCATACAAGTACTTGACCGTCGCCGCCACTCTGTCCAGCATCTCCCCACGAACAGCTCAGCCACGTAAGACGTGGTGGAGGTTAGTTTTGACGAGGGCTGTAGGATGGGTGGGTTGTGCGCACCGCGCCAGCGTATGACACGTCCAGTATGTTGACTGATTCGTCCTGTCGGACCCGGAACCCCAGACCCTGAAACGCACGGAGAGCGGACGTCGGGGCGACAGCAGGCTCGAGGAAATGGTCTCAGGGAGGACGCGTCGACCCCCAATCGCCCATGGATCGCCGGCAGGATTCCGACAGCCCTCACCCCAAGAAGCGTGCCGCTCCGCTGTCGCTGACCCATCGCCGAC